TTACCGTTTTCTGTGATAATACATCTTTCTAAACACGTTAACAGTATACCACAACAAGCAGTACTTACCTTGCAATCAAACATACAAAAAACAATATTTATTGGCGACAAATCTGAAGTCAACACAAATTACGATTTTTATTCGGAAAAATAAGGCCGATTTTTATTTCTGAATGTTGTATCTTGCTTAATAGTGTTGCAGTTTATGAAAATAGCAAAAATTATCAAATCACATAAAGGAAACTGGTAGAAACAAATGTTACATTCATGACGTTACACACTCATCATAAAATTGGACACTTTTTTAAAAACAATTAAATATGTAACTGAAACGCTATTTTAATAAGCACGTTTAGAAACACATTGAGAAAGTATCATAAAGCATGAGTACAATTTAATAATTAGAAAAAACTATTTTTTTCGGCATTATTGGCAATTTTTGATACAAAGGTGGTAGTTGGACAAACAATTTTTGTATGGGAGTGAAAGCACTACCTTTTAAATTATATTTTTTTACATATATTTTTTAGGGATGGTAGGTTACATTTCGTCAAAATAATCTAAACAGAAGCTCGTCATTCGGAACAATGTTCAACAAATGACATTTATCAAATAACTTCGAAATTATTGAGAAAAATAAAATGGGGACAAAACGAAAATGATATTTGTACAATTTTTTGCGACCATACCCAGGTATTAACCTTATTCCTATTTTATGCTTATTTATCGTATTTAGCCCTGTAGGGGGATTGAAATCACACCAGAAAAAAACTTTTATTACGATCCATAAAACTATAAATACTTAACTGTCGAATGTAATCTGTTTCCGACTTTACGGCTTAATAACACGTATAAATCCTAGTCTAAACAATACAAAGGTCGTTTATGCCTATTTCTATTATTATCTACTATCACAAATAACAATGGTCAAAACACATTACTTAAACAATATCAATTGCTAACAATTCTCAGCTAAACCAAACTAGCAACTTACGAACTATGAACTAAGACCTACGACCCATTGCTATAGCAATCGTCTATGCGAATTTCAAACTTTAAAATCTATACAATACAAAAACTATCAACTATTTTATCAAATTAACACATAAATCTAATATAGAAAACTTATGTCTAATCGAAGAATGCGAAATAACATATATAGATACACTTTTTAAAACTGTTTATAATTTGACTGTCTATGACGTCTCACTGCACATCGTAAGTTTTGTATTGGCTGTTTCTCAAGATAAGCCGCTCGTCTCGTACGAACAGTCAATCAAAAGTCTCTCTTTCTCATTCGGTATAGAGCATGACAAGGATCTAGACTAGTCTGTTGTGAAATTTATTTTATTAGGCTTAGAGAATCATGCAAGAATCGGGACCACTGAACTGTGTTCATTCAGTGTGTCCGATTCGGACTCCTTAATCCAAAGCCCACATACAAAAGGACTCTTGAGTCCATTACGTCTAGCTCAGTCGCTCGGTCAATCAAGTCCATGTGAAGTCAAGCAAGTCTGTAATGAGTTATAAATAAAACAATAATGTTCTGTTACTTTGTTTACTCAATAACACTTTAGCTTTAAGATTAAATATGATTACAAAATCAGTTATGATGTAACAAGATTAAAGTCAGAAATATATTAACGTGTCGTGTCGTGGCGTGCCAGAAGCACATCAGTTTCATACATTTACTATGGTTATATACATATTTACGTGTCGTGTCGACGCTCTAACCTTACTCTCTCTAACCCATAATAAACGTATGAAACCGATACGTCATGCATCAGCTTTTCTCTATGTGCATCAGTCACGACACGCCACGACGCGTTAATATGTGCCTGGCTTAAGGAGTGGGAAAGGCGACGAGTGCGAAGATGTTGATCCAGTAATGGATGCTATTTCAGAAATACATATTTGTAGTAAATATTGTATTTTTAATAAATATTTTGAATTTTGGGGGGTTTTTGCGTTTAAAACCTTTATTTTGGGGGCACTTCAGGTAACTTTTGCGGGGAAGGTCAAATAGCTTTCTGGTAACACTACGCAGCCCAATATTTAATAATAATAATAAATATTCTTTATTGCACACAACAAAGGACACAAGATAAAAAACAAATAAAACAGAAGAAAGAGTACAATAGGCGGCCTTATTGCTAAACAGCAATCTCTTCCAGGCAACCTATGGTAGAAATGGAATAATAATAGAGAAATATAGAAGGGTGCAAAAGTAGATACAGGAGCTATACTTACATAAATATAAGAGAAGCAAAGAAATAGGATATTAAATGAGTTTAAGATAAAGAAAGGAAATAACTTTTAACTTGATCGCTAAAGGAATTAAGCGTACGAGCCTTTCTGATACCCTCAGGAAGTGAATTCCAAAGTCGAGTAGCGTGCACAGAAAAAGAGTAAGAAAAGAAGTCAGAAGAGTGACAGGGAATCTCAAGAAGTAGGTTAGATGAGGATCTCAGTGAGAGCTGCGAAGAAGAGGATAGAAATGAGAAACACTGCTTAAGATAAGGTGGGGAAGATGGCAGGAAAAGTATAGAATAGAGAACCGTTAGAGTGTGTAGATCTCTGCGCCGGCGAATAGGGAGCCAATTAAGTTTATTACGGAAGTGAGACACGTGGTCGAATTTACGGAGATTATAAATAAACCTGATACAAACATTCTGCAGTCGCTCTAATTTATTGAGGCGTTCCTCCGACAGATCGGTGTAGCAAACGTCAGCGTAGTCGATGATGGACAACAACAGAGAATTTGCCAAGTTGATTTTGGTGCTGATCGGCAAAAGGTTCCGCAACCGACTAAGGGAACCATAAGCAGCAAACACCTTTTTTCTAACCATCTCCACCTGTGGTTTCCAGGTGAAACTCTGGTCAAAGACAACACCCAAGTTTTTGACGGTTTCTGAGTAGGGAATAATAGAACCGTTCAAAATAATGGAAGGCAAATGATTAAAGTCGATCCTAGAAATAAAATAAGGACTACCTACCAATTATGATGGATTGAGTTTTTTAAATTAAAGTTATTTTGGAGCCAATTCAGTTTATTACGGAAGTGAGACACGTGGTCGAATTTACGGAGATTATAAATAAACCTGATACAAACATTCTGCAGTCGCTCTAATTTATTGAGGAGTTTCTCCGACAGATCGGTGTAGCAAACGTCAGCGTAGTCGATGATGGACAACAACAGAGAATTTGCCAAGTTGATTTTGGTGCTGATCGGCAAAAGGTTCCGCAACCGACTAAGGGAACCATAAGCAGCAAACACCTTTTTTCTGACCATCTCCACGTGTGGTTTCCAGGTGAAACTCTGGTCAAAGACAACACCCAAGTTTTTGACGGTTTCTGAGTAGGGAATAATAGAACCGTTCAAAATAATGGAAGGCAAATGATTAAAGTCGATCCTGGAAATAAAATAAGGACTACCAATTATGATGGATTGAGTTTTTTCCGGATTTAAGGTAAGACCAAATGACTCACTCCAACTACTTATAAACGACAAATTTGTGTTGATATCAGAAATTGCGCTAGAGAGGTCAGATAAAGGGGCCTGACACCCATATTCTTAGTCGTTTCCTCGAGATTTTTTCCACTCGACTCAACCTCATTGGAGGAAATTCGTATGCTTAGACAACAAAAATATCCTTCACTTGAGATATTCCTCACTCGAGTGGAGGTCGAGTCGAGGAATAAACTGTCAAACTCAAGGTAGCTCTCGACGTACCTTAAGGCTTCCTCGAGTGGTGTTTAAGGTGTTTTCAAGTTTTATGTCTGATTTTGAGATTATTGACGAATTTGTGGATTTTATGGATTACGTATACGATTTATTTATTTATTTATTCAGTAACACATACACGACGTGATGCCGCAAATCCTTTTAAGGTTTACGACAATGATTCGTTTCAAAGAAGATTTCGGTTTAGAAAAGATACAGTCATACAAGTAATATTTCCTGTGTTAACAATTATAGAAATAAAATCCTCCAAATGATGACGTCACAATGTTGAGGAATTCTCAGTGGAGGAATTCTCAAGTTTGTTCAAGATACCAACTAGAATACCATTTTCGAGGTTATTTGGAGGAACTCCTTAAGGAGCCCTCGAATGAGTTTGAGTCGAGGAACGTTTGAGGACGCGATTAAGAATATGGGTGTAAGTGTATATCTGGAGATCATCAGCATAAAGGTGATAGGAACATGAAAGTGACAGTGTGATAGAGTTTATAAAGATAGAAAATAGAAGAGGAGATAGGACGCCACCCTGAGGAACACCGGCATTGATATCACACCATAAAGACAAGGTGTTGTCAATACGAATACGCTGTCGGCGGCCTAGCAGGTAACTTCGAAACCATTCAACTGCGGATGGAGATATGCTAAGTGAACCTAAAACGCCTAAAAGGATGTCAAAGTCGACTGAGTTGAAGGCGTTGCTAAAATCAAGCAGTGTCAACAACGTAAGTTGCCGCTTATCCATTCCTCGGCGGATATCGTCCGAGATTTTAACCAGTGAGGTATTTTTTGGTTCTTGGAGCCTTTTCATTGCGTGCGGTTGGCGTCATATTTTAATTATTCTTTAAATTCGATCATAGTGGATATTGTGTTATAATCGACTGCGCAACTGAAGAATTAACAGAATCTTTAAAATATTCGCTATCGGTCAAATGGATGTAAAAACTTTATTTTAGTGTTGACTACCTCACAAAAGCTTGTCGAGAAAGCGGACTCACAGCAGCTACATTTTGTGTCAAACACTCTAAGAAAAATTAGAATGCGTCACACCCAATGTAAAAAAAGGGAGATTAATACAAAAATAAGAAGAAGGCTGCATGGCTTTGCCTTTGCCTTTCCCAATAGGAAAGAATAAAACTAAAAAAGAAGCATTAATTTTTCTGTTTGTTTTGGGTCACGAAAAGTAAGAACTAAAATAAATCCTCTAGTGGCAAAGCAAAATTATTACCTACTGAAATTATCTTATATTCAAGTAACCCATTATGTCGCGAGATTCAGACGAAGAAACTGACTTAATAGAGAATGTGAATGAAATTATCGAGAACCTTTCAGTAAGTAAGCAAAAAGGAATTGTAGACATGTATTGCTGCCAAATAGTTAAAATAAAGTTAATTATCCACTATATAAATCCACGTCCTTTTATTAATTTTCTTTAGGTATTAGTTTACATAAAATTACTGTCAATGAAATTGAACACATGTGCCATTCTCTAGTCAGCAAAGTACTATGCATTTTACAGTGTAGAAACAAGTTTTCGAATGGTAAGACGCCACTGAGAAATTGTATGGAGATTAATATTTTGATTCAGTGCAACAAAAAATACTGTGAGCTGGAGTGTAGAACTTCTTCCTAGATGCGTCCTCATTGTATCAAAGTAGGGCTGCCATCTCTAAAATGTGGCAACCAGGATAAGACGCGTGATAACCCCGGATTTTGGAGCCCAGAACCCAGACAGACCAATAAGAAACAGTTAAAATATCACAAATCAACTTTTTTATGTCGATCTAGGCAAAAGAGCATAAGTCTACCTCATAATAAGTGGTCACTGCTGCCCATGGACACTTGCAGCACCAAGGGCCAGACATGCGTTGCCCTAAATTTTTAAACCCGGACTACAAATAAAATCCCGCCCGGATGCTCCCCGGACGTCCCGTAAACTAGGACAAATCTGGGAAAACCCGGACGGATGGCAGCCCTATATCAAAGATATGTAACAGTACTAGACTACACATTTTGAACCGTTTGCTGCACCCTTATTACATAAACAAATTACAGTGTATATAAAAAGGAAATTCAGAGGCCTAAGCACGTACTTTGACAGATCAGTAATCATATCATCATTGTCAAATTTTGTATGGAAAGAGCCAGTTGGTTATTATGTCTGGTAGGGACGCTGCATAGGTTTCATAGAAATTTTGATGATGCAATATGATTATGGAGCTGTCAAAGTTTGTGTGTGGGCCTAGGAGGCCTTAGCTGAACTTATGTTGTTGGAGTTGCTGTTGTTGTTAGTTTTGAGATTTCACAATAAGGCTCCTGTTCTCGCATACTTACAATCAAAATTGTTTACAGAGAGAATTGCAAGATATGTATCTGTATAGAGACATGTTTTTTGAAAACCATCCAATTAAAATGGCTCCAGAGAAGAATAAATTAGTTGAAGAGAAAAAAGAAGAACTAGTGAAGAAATTTCAAAAAATTGATGGTAATGTCAGTTATTTTTCCTTTTGGATACAATGTTGTTTTTGAAAAATGTTGAATTCTTTAAATTTTGGATCCTAAAATGTTGAATTTGTAAAATGTGAAATTCATAAAATTTAGGATCCTAAAGCAGCAGCAGTAAAGGTAAGCTTTGATGCGCATCTTAAAGGAGGCCTTCTTAAACCTACACCTCATAAGTCCTGGGAACTTCTCAGAGTTACTCTCTCTCCTACATGATGGACCCGGCACCTGCATTGTGAATCCATGGATTGCTAAGAAGTTCCTCTCTCTTGAATTGTAACAAATTGAAACACAATGTAGAATTCACAAAATTTTGAATTCTTTAAGTTTTGTAACCTAAAATGTTGAATTTGTAACAAAATTGAGACACAATGTTGAATAAGGAAAATGTTGTATTGCAAAACATGAGTCCTGTGGATGCAGCCTTTTGGACTACAATGTTGAAATGGAATGCCTAGGCATTTTATTGGAAGTTTGCTGACAATAGTAATATGGTTATAAGATGGGTTCATATGAATAGCAATTTAGCCTATAGGCCAGTTTTTCTTATAGCCCATAAAGTTCTAAATCTTTGTTCAATATTATTTTTATTAAAATAGAGCGGCATATTGCTGTGTGTTTAACACAAAGTATGATCAGAGTCAAATGCAAATTTATGTGCTGGATATTGGCAACAATGGCAAATGATATTGATGTAGAGGTAACATGAAACATACTCTGTATGTGAGACAAAACTACATAGTAACTTTTGCACTATACATGTCAAGCATTTAGTACAAGTACAGGGAATCCATGGACTAATTGATTCACCTTTTATATTCATGTTAATAATTAATTATACTACAAAATTAAAATATCTTTTCAGTGGATAAGCAAGTACCATTCTCTTCACGGGCAAATTTCTTATATCTCAAAGGCAGATGTTACAACATTAACCCTGTGTATGATGCTCGTGCGACACAATGTCTAAGTAAAGCGGTAAAACTCAACCCTCATTTAGTAGATGCGTGGAATGAGCTCGGAGAATGCTACTGGAAAAATATGAATGTAAAAGAAGCCAAGGCCAGTTTCGAGGGGGCTTTGAAGCATGTAAGTATTTATATATTTATTTAGAATCATTTCTTGTAATCTGTAATCTTAAATTATAAGCTTATGAATAAAGTAATAATTACCTCATGATTTTTGCTTATGCCAAGAATACTGCAATAAGTTTATGATAAAAAAATATTGTTATCAATAAGTTGCATGCACATGCAGACTGTAATGAAAAAAAGGTTTGTGAAACCATAAAACTTGTTATTTCTAGGAACGGAACCGCATTTCTTTAAGATGTTTATCTATCATACTACGCCAAGAAAATGAAGACAGAGCTCCCAAAGATACTACTACTGCAATACTAAAAAGTGTCGAACTTGCAAAAGAAGCAGTAGCCCAGGACATCAAAGATGGAGTCTCTTGGACTGTATTGGGCAATGCTTATTTGTGCCAATTTTTCATGGTCTCCCAAGACCCAGCGGTGCTAAAGTCTTGTTTGAGCGCATACAAGCAGGCTTGGTCAGATCCAGTTGCTAAAGGCCAACCAGACTTGTATTACAATAAAGGAATTGTGAGTATGTTTTTATTTATTATTGATAATAATGACTAATATTTGTGTTGCACAAGCTTGAATAAGATTAAAGTACTTATACATTGCTCATTCATTGTCATTATGGTTATGTGCTTCTGTAATTTTATACTAAAAAGTAAAGTTTTACCAAAAAGTAGGAATTAAACAAAGTTATCCAGAATGACATAAACCACAAAATTAATTGGCATAATAATACTTCACTTCCCTTTATTAAGATTTACTCATTCTATTTTTTGGCATAAAGCCACTTTATTTTATTGTTCATAATACTCAACTCTTTTCAACCAAATTTTCAGGCTTTGAAGTATGAGGAACAGTATTCTGAAGCTTTACGGAACTTTGAGTATGCTTGTGAATTGGACCCCACATGGGAACCGCCACGCGATGAGTTGGGAAGACTCACTACATACCTGTCTTGCACCAATCATTTAGTGCAGTCCAAGGGCAAGATGAAGGTGAAGAAACTCATGCAGATGGTCCAGGTATTGTATTGCATTCATTAACGATGGGTACCAATTTGTATTGTTACTTGTCGGGATGAGGTTCAAAATTATATGCCAGTTCACACTTGACAGTTCTTTATTCACTACACAGTTCTTTCTTGAACACATAGTACTACACTCACTGTACACTATACAAGTCTTTAAACAATCGCACTTGAACCCTTTACTTGCACTTCGATCGCCTTTGTATTCGTTCCGAAATCGCTGTTGAAACTCAACTGACTCTGCGCGATGCCGATCGCGCTTATGTACTCCGATGAATTCTAGAAAAGTCCAGTTTAATTGAGAGTTAACCAGCACCCGCGAGTGCGTATTACCTACTTATACGTGGGTGACGCGCAAGAATTGTAAACAAGTGCAGATGTCGTTGCACTTTCTCCCTTACGCCGCACTGCATAAGGCTCACGACCTTTATCACGTTCATTTACGTCGCGACCCACGGTGTTCTGGTAAAATATGTCTCCAGTATTTTCGTGGTTTTGGATCGAGAGTGTTTGTGACAGTATCATAAAGAAAGGATTCAAAACTGCCTTGGCAAGATATTCTATCTGCCTCGCACGTTAGCATGTGCGAGAGGGACAAAATCTCTCCTTTTTCAAACACAGTAAACTTTAAACCCCCTTTTTACTCCTTTAGGAGGCAGATTTTGTAAAATCCTTTCTTAGCGCTCGCCTACATCATAATAATAGCTATATGTGTGCCTAATTTCAACGCAATTCGTTCAGTGGTTTGAGCTGTGCAGTGATAGATGAGTCAGCAAGTAACGGTTGCCTTTCATACACTTCCAGACACATCTATTGACCCACTTAGCGTTTTAATAGTCTGTAGCAAAAATATAATTAAGTTAGATTGGGAATAATTTTATATTTTAGAAAAACACGAAAATGATGTTTAATAAACTAGTTTAAAAAGTGCACAAAAACTTTCTGCACAATGTAAGATTTTAGCTAGGGACCGTTAAAAGCATATAGGTCAAAATTTAATGGCTAGGTGGGCCGATTGATGTGTCCTGTAGTATATATATACAGAAAAGAAAAAAGTGTAACTTACATTTTGTTCATGGGTTTGGCTTGGCATTAGTATAGAAAATGAGAAATGTTGAGATTTCAATACCTATACTAACGTAGTCCCAAAGTAGGCACTGTGAAGTCTGTGTTATGGGATTCTAGGGTAATCGATAAATAATATGATAATACACATAATTATGTTTGTTTTTCTAGAAATATAATAAATAGCAATGATTTAGATGCAAATGCTCGTATTCATCATACAACAAACCTTTGCCCCACCCGGGATTCGAACCCAGGACCTCTGAGTAGGCGACACCTTCCAATCCGGCGTACACACCGCTCACATAACGGCGATAATTGGAACTAACGATGCTGTCTTTGTAAACGTCATATTTTGTATGTCATTTACGTAGACAGTGGCGCCCTCTATCACTAACATTCATACATTTCAAAAAGATCCTTGTCGCACTGTTGAAGAAATGTTTGTTCCAGGGCATAGACAACAAAATGCTAGGGATATACAGTCCGGGCACATTTCATATATTCGGTACGCGCCGTGACGTCACATTGGAACGGGTAACGTTGAATTCGCTACAAGAGGGCACTAACGAAGGAAAACTGGTGCTGGCTAAAGTAGTCGGGTCCATACATAATGGGAACGCTGTGCCTTTGTGAGTAATCATAATAATCATAATCAAAATCATATTTCAATGATAAATATATACTTAATAAAAAAAACACACACCAATTAGCCTAGTCCCAAAGTAAGCACTGTAAGGCTTGTGTTATGGGATCTAGGGTAATGGATAGAATACATAAACTGTTCATATATAAGTATATTTATATAGGAAATACATATTCAACATCCGTGACTGGAGTACAAATGCTCGCATTTATCACACAAACATCTGCCCGCACTGAGATTCCAACCCGGAACCTCTCGAGTCGGCGACACCATGAATCCCGGCGTACAAACCACTCGGCCACGGAGGTCGTCAATTTATTCAGTTGAGGCTGTTACAAATCTCAATCTCTCAAACTCATGAATGTCTAGCAGTTACGCCGTCGGTTCGTAAAGAGAGACCTTGTACTGAGAAGAACCGCCAAGAACTTGGCAAGGGCTGTTCTTTCCTCCCTGTTTTAATATTTACTGAGTCGTCAGGTTGAAAAATGACTTAAGAGATGATTTATGAAATCACCTTTCATTACACTAACTGTTCATTACATTAATTGTTCACCTGCATTTTGATTGCTGTGTCATACAGTATAAATACAAATAGTGTTCTTAAAACAAATTTAGATTAGGTGTAACTAGACATTAACATTTAATTAGTATTTCATACCTTGTGTTTTATGGACCCACACTCTCGAGGAGCTCGATGCAAGTTCGCAAGTTGTTAGCGCGTTCGGCTGCGATCGTTGAAGCTAAGCAACTTCCGCAGTGGTCGGTCATTGGATGGGTGACCAAAAATTAACTATCTCGAGTTCTGTGTTTAGAAGGGCACATTAGGCCGTTGGTTCCGGTTGCATTTGCAGTCGTAAGCAACCAATCTGCACTGGACCCACGTGGTGGATCATGAATCAATCTCCCTATTCCATCCATAGGGGAGGCCTGTGCCCCAGCTGTGGAGACATTAATAGGCACATGACTTTTCAATTTAAATTAAGTTGTTTATAAGTTAATATTTTAGACACAACTATATATATATAATATTAGATCTGGTAGCTACGAAGCTGCCAGATCTAATATTACTTGAAGTTTTTTATCCTAAAACGTTTCGATAATAGGGATGATGATGGTGTAGAGCAAACGAAAATTTATTTAGTTCGTCAGTTAGATCATTAAAAAAAATGGATAGGTACTTAATTTTTCTTTTGTCAATCAACCATAAATTACTAAGAGAATGCGCGTCAACATTTGGGAGTAGAGTCTTGTGACGTCATTTTAAGTCTAAATTGTATCAAGACGTGACGTCATGCGACATTGCAAATCAATATATCTCTATGATATTTTGAATGTGTGAATAAAGGAAAAATACGTGTCAAAAACTTTTTGATAATTTAGGCATCGTCGTAGTATCTATGTATATCATAATAATATGGTCCTTCGAGCTGGATTTTGAATTAACACTTATATGAAATGTGTCATTACTTTGCGAGATAGTTAAATATACTGTTGAGCTAATAATGCGGTAAACTATCCAAAGATTCGAGTAAATACATGGCGGAGTTATCCCAGAAGTGCGAGCAATATTCCACGCAGGTCTGCATTTGCGTCTTCTATCCTTTTCTTTTTCGATAGAACAAAATAAGGATTTGCTTAAGGTTAATAGATTTAGGCCCATTATTGTTAGATATTTCTAGTGTTTGTATTTATTGGAACGAAGTTCCTTTTCGCACGGTACTGAACTACTGACTAGCGAATGGGGGCAACACCAAAAAAATTGAAGATTTTTCCGTCCCAACCTTGTTTCGTAGCTTTTTTTTTTAGTTTGTATGCTGTCGGTCGCGTATGACTTTTACAGCGTCACCGGGTTTGGGGACAGTGAGATCCTTGGGGAACCTCAAGCTGAGAATTGGCCAGTGCCTCTTAGAGGTATTCCAGGCGGATGGCATCTCCCCACGGTGGGAAGTCTCTTCTCCGTCTGGAGCCTCTAGACCACTCGAACCGAGGGTATCGGCTCAACTAGAGGGCGTCTCTAAGACTCGGATCTCGGCTCTAGTTAGCCGTTGTCGTGGTGTTTTGTAGCTTATTGTTTGTAGAGTTGTGTACTCATACTTATTTTTATCTTTAACTTCGTTCTAACAGAGTGTTCCACGACAAACCCGACTGATCAAGTTTCTATTTGTTTATAGCACATTCGCCGTGGTGGATGAGAGTATGGATTGCGTTTGTATCACAGTATATAACTGGGCGGACGGACGCGGTGCTATCATAGGGGACAGTGTGTGTATACCGGAACCGAAACTAGCTATACAGAAATACGAGTCGAAAACATTGGTACGTAATTTAATTCCATACTAATATTTAAATAAAAAGAAATTTTCTTGCTACAAAAAAATCCACTGTCTTGGTAGGTATAGGTAGCGGCAAACTTTTTGAGCAAACTCACAGACAAATAAACTTGCGCAGTAGACGTATTTGTATATTAAATTGCTACTGCGCAGGCTTCCTTGTCTATAATCGTTGCGCAAGAAGTTTGCCAGAACATTATTAATCAAGCAGTGTAATTGTTAAAAAATCTAATATTATAAACGGTATTCTGTGTTTCTTTTTTTCTGTCTAATGTTTGAATGTGATGAATTTTGCTGTGAAGGGGTATCTTAGAGAAAATTATAGCAACGATAGAGTAGCACAAAGGCTTCATGTGTTAAATAATTAGAAAAAAAATCTATTGGCCCTAAATGGTTGGAAGTATGTTTATTTACCAGTTTTTTGGCATCTGGCAACTATCTAGAAGCGGCTAAGACTTTATTACGCATTGTATGATTTTGTCAATTAAAATGTTTGATCCTTCGAGCCGGATTTTAATTATACACTTTATTTGATGAAAATGTTTCTCCTATATCAAAATTAAGACTGACGTCCTCTATGAATCCCTTTCACTCTCAATATGAAATATATCAATTAACTATTGATTTATAAATCCTTATTTGTTTCCAGAAATATGAGTTTAAATGTATACGGTTGAATAGTCCCATGCATTTGCTTTTGAACGGCAGAAGACTGTCACGTGACCAGTTTGCTCGCACTAAAGCGACTAGTACTTACGAGATTCACTGAAATCAATGTTATGGACAGATTGACAGACGAATAAAAAGGCGACATTAAAGACAATTAACTGAAAATTAACCATAACTGTTCGGAAGATCCAATGTGGGTGAAATAGGTAAGTTATTACTAACCAATATCTTAGTTGGAACGAACAATTATGTTTTATATTTTGATGTTTGTTGTGTAATTGAATGTAATATTTGTTGTCAGTAAGGAATTTTCTGCAGAGGTAATTATTTGCCAACTGCTTTGATGGGGAGCCAAATTTATCGTGCTGTCAAGATAGTTTGTATTTTCTGAAATAATAAATTGTATTTGACCGCAACAGTATAGGGGTATTAAAGGCAACGCTTGACTTATTACACTGGCGGTAAACAAGGCAATATTGCTACGATTGTACAAGTCTTAAATACATTTTGTATCAAACCCTTTCCCCCAAGTAATTGTATTTGACCGCAACAGTATAGGGGTATTAAAGGCAACGCTTGACTTATTACACTGGCGGTAAACAAGGCAATATTGCTACGATTGTACAAGTCTTAAATACATTTTGTATCAAACCCTTTCCCCCAAGTAATTACTTATACTTTAAGTTAATAAAATTCAGCATTCATTTAACAAAGATATCATAATATACCTTTAACGTCTGCGGTGATTTTATCTGACAAATTAACTTATTTACTAATTGTTAATTAAATCATGCCTTTACCGTCCGCGTCGGTTTTATTCCACAAAGGACTTGCAAAAACTGTATTAAATACATAAATATTTAGCTGTTTACGTAAGTAACGTCACGAATATATACAAGTATAATATATGTCTAAGGGTGACTGTGATCACTTACCAACAGGTGAGCCATCTGCTCATATGCCCCTATAATATGTTTTTATAAATAAAAATGTATTATCGCACAAATATTAAAAAGGCGAAAGTGTGTATGTTTGTTACTTCTTCACGTCTAAACAGCTGGAACATTGTTACACCGATTCGAAATTATCCAAAAAGCTGTTCTTCTATGTAAACATTCACTACACGATTAGTTAATTTTCAGTAGAAGTTTTAGTAAGGTACTTTATAATATAATTTTGAGTTCATGTATGTTGGTGTGGAGCTTAGGTTTGTATATTTCTTTAAAATTTGGTTATAATATGGTAATCGATTTAATGACACAATAGAATATAATGTCCAACTGCTTATGACTATTTAATTTAAAAATAATATTTTAATATGCCAGATTTAGCATTGTTAATATATCGATAAGGTTACTATGATAATGTCTAGAAAAATTAAACTGTACGCTCTCTAAAATGCTTAAGAATGTTTATTCGAAATATAATATATATATGTAGTATATGATATGTTTTTAACTTTTTGAAAATTTTATTTATGGATGAAACTAACTCCGAATTGCATGACTGTAAAATGTACACGAACTGTGATTGTTTTTTTAATTAGATAAGTAATTATGTTTAACAATTTATATATTAAAATTGTTAAAACTAGCTCGTGACTCCAAATTTACTTAAAAACCATTTTATAAAGTATGAAAATACACAAAATTCTAATAATTATGTAAGTGCATGATATGGTAAATTATATCACGGATTTACTTTCAAATCTCATTTATATGTATTATTTCAGAAAAATGGTACGAAATTTAATCAAATGTTAATTTGTTTATTAGTAATAGAAGTTTGAATGTAACAAAAATAGATACCGCCGTTGAAATAAAATAAACAGTCTTGATATTCATACCAAGTTCATATTTATTTAACAAGTAGCAACAATCCCTGGTTTCGCACTTTTTTAAAGAAAAATAACGACGGGTTGATATTTCTGTACACTTTTGGATATTTCAAACCTTTAACTGCCACACAAGCTGTTTTCTGAAAATTATGAACAGGAGAAAAAAAAAGTTCAATTGAATTTTGGTCGACGTGGCATTTGATACTTATATAAATATATTAAAACCTTCCTAAATTTTGCACTAAGTAGTTTAATTTAGTATATTATAACACATTGTAATACATATTTTGTGGTAGGTACTAAAAACTTTCCTTTGAGTTCAGAGTTGTTTTGAAATAGATATTAAAACATTGCATGTACATACAAACTGACTCACGGAGATTACTAATTCACTACCAATAAAATCTCTTACCTTTTTAATTTTGTGAGTATTATCTAGAATAATATTCAATCCTAATAATATTAGTAAGTTTCAATCATTAAAGTTGTTAACGATTTAAATTTTCAACATAATATTGTACTTGTAATTAACCTAAAAATTTACTAAAACAAACTTTAACTACAACGATTAAGAGTTGACTTCCCATAGTTGCAAGTCGTTTTCCACTATTTCAGCGAATTTATCGCCCTTGCTTCGATCCTTGAACAATGGCCTCAGTGTCTTCAGGTCCAGGCCTAGTAGAGCACCGCTATCCAGCAACTCGTTGAGTTTATAGGCCAGACTAGGGCTGTAGTGTAGTTTCAGTAAACTAGGCCTCGAGTACAAGTACTGACTCTCGCGCAGATTTTTACGAGCCCAAGCTTCCACGGTCTTATTGCCGCTGGCTACCTGAAGATGTTTACAATTTATTAGTTTTTCGTAGTTAAAAACTTATTTTTAATCTTAATTCAGTTTTTCATCTTAGTTTTTTCTGTTTAACTAAATGATATTCTGTTCAAAGAAATAAAATAATAAAATTAGTGGAGCACTTTCTTTATCACACAATAGCTTAGGGCTGTCCATATCTCCACGTCACGACGTTACGTCGTCATCGTGGAACGGTGCGGTGTCGCGGCACGGTGCGTTGCGGCGTGATATTCATTTTAAGGACACCTATGGTAACATAAATTTGTCCGATATGTCAACCTACTGTGCCGCGTTGACGACGTCGCGACTTGGAGATGTTGGCAGGCACTTACAAAAGGCAAGCATGGAATACTGCGTCATATGAGGAAGAGGTTGTGCCGAAATATCAATATTTCCAACACTCACACCATTTAGCCTAGCCCCAAAGTAAGCACTGTAGGCTTATGTTATAGGATTGACAAACTAGAGTGACGGATAAATACTGATACAAATATAAGTACATTTATTTATATAGAAATACATATTAAACATCCATGACTGGAGTACAAATGTTCGTATTTATCACACACCTGCCCCCATCGGAATTCGAACCCGGCACTGGACCTCTCGAGTAGGTGAGGCCTAGAAATCCGGCGTACAAACCACTCGGCCACGGAGGTCGTAAAAGCTAAATAGTCACAGCACAGCCGTCGTTACACCTACCAATGATGCAAAAGTATGTTCTTTACCTCGTTTTTGTGAAAGAATATAAAGACAGAAAATCTGGTACTTCTCCTTGAAATAGACATGTTCCTACCGAAATCAGATTTACGAATTTCACAAAAGACAATATAAATAAATTAATGGCCGCCCCTTCCATTAAATCAGCGCTTTCAAGAACTGTTATTTAAATAAATTGTTGATTTTAATTCTAAAATAAAGATTCTACATTAAATCCCTTATGATTTGATTTATTAATCTGCACTATTGCTATAAACCTTTTTTTATAATATACTAGCGGGCACCCCCGACTTCGTCCGCGTAATCTTCAGTTTTTTTGAAAATACCACAGGAAAATGTGGGATATTTCTGGGATAAAAGTATCCTATGTCTCAATCCTGGTCATAAACTATATGCATACCAAAATTCATTCTAATCCGTTTAGTAGTTTTTGCGTATTTCACATTTATAATATTAGTAGGATAGTACTGAAATAACCGAAGTGCCACTTAGAATATAAAATGTATGGCACTCTTCATCATCAACATCATCAGCCACATTAATGACCCCACTGCTGGGGCACAGGTCTTCCCTATGGATGGAACAGGGAGATTGGGCCATGACCCACCACGCGGACTCAGTGCGGATTGGCGGGTGCTAACGACTGCAGATGCAGCCAGGACCAACGGCGTAACGTGCATCCGAAGCACGGAGGACCTCGAGATAGTAAATTTTTGGTCACCCATCCAATGACCGACGACTGCGAAAGTTGCTTAACTTCAACGATCTCAGCCGTATGATCGATGCCGATGCACTAACCATCCGCGCCATCGAGTTCCTCAATGGCACTCTTAAGGCGCTACTAATTAGTATTTGTTTACACTTACTCGTATATCACCGACTTCTTTTAGAAAGTAAGAAGCGAAGTAAAACCGCAGGTTGTCTGTAGAGCTTTGCTGGCTGCTCTTTTCCTTTATGTATGAGCGTAGTAGGTTGTAACCTGATCTCTTATATTTGAACACCTGGAATATTTTTATTATATTAGTAAAATTTAATTATATTTTTAGGCTGTCCGCGTCGTATGTCCAAATCGTCGTCAAATTTTCGTTGGTAGTAAAATAACTATGAAAATATGAATATAAAAAAATGTCTTGGAATAAGATTTTTCGTTATAATCTTTAGTAAACAACGATATTTAATTTTAATTATCTAGATACAACATTACGAACAAAATCGTGGCCATAACCTGTCCAAAAGGTACATTGAACGATCCACGGAGCTCCGTAAGATGATCGTATTCAAAAAAATATAAAGGCAATTTTTGCACATTCAAAGTCACCATTAGTCCATATTAAATAAGGTCTAAACGCATGCTGCGTCAAACATTTATGACAGTTCGAAATGCAAGCTCGTAAAATTTTACAACTTGTTGCTGTAGGTGGAAGAATATAGACTTTATTTCTATGACTTTATATTGTAATTCGGAATGCGCTGTTAGTAGTACCGCAAGTACGGAGCGCGAGGAAAAAAGACGGCTATACAACCGACCATGCATTTGAATATCACAAATATTTTCTATTAAATCAGTTTATAGAAAGTATTAAAGCTTCAAATGCTTTAAATTAACAAACATTGAAAGACCTGTCAAAAAAACGACACTACAAACTTTTAAGTATTTTCTCGGATTTTTGTCCGGAGTTCTGCGGCATGTTGACTTTTCAACGGTCCGAGCGTCATTCACTGTGAATTATAAAGTGCTCGAGTTGTGTTCAAGCACTTTTTGATTGAGACACAGTTTGAGCGCACGTTGTGTATCCTATTGATATTAAATATCGTTTATAGTAAAGATAAAAGTGCAGTCGTATATGCGTCTTCGGACGACGGCGTCTAAAATTAATTTGTCATATCCATACCACTGCTGCAGTTAAAGGATTAAGGTCCACTGGCAGAAATTTTGCTAAATCTCAATTTAAGTAAAACTAGATTTTGCCCATACAATAATTTCAAAGTGTCATTGTAGTTTATGGGTTAAATCTAGTTTTGGTTGAATCGGGATCTAGCAAATTTGCTGCAATTGGGCCTATATGTCAGCAAATCGATCAGATAAAAATCTGCTTTATTTGTCCTTATATGTTTACCTGGTAAATGAAATTGCCTGTCAAAAAAGACTCTATGTAATGTGTCCCGTAGCTCCTCATGAAAGTTCTAACCGCTGCCGTATCGCTGACGTTAAGAGCTTCTATCGCTTTTCCCACATGATCTTTTACAGCTACATCCCTTAGGTCGTCTAGCTGAGCATTCGTATGAGGTTTGGTCCATTTCACTAGCACGTAACAGCAGTTGTCTTGCCATCCGTTGTAAATGACCCCCATGGTGCGTAGGATTTCGTCGGTCACCCAGTCACCCATGAAAGCTTTCCATGGTTTGTCTGTTCTGAAAGGATGGTCATATTAGCAAAGTTACGTTGTAAAATTGTACGCTGCATAAACACTGTCTTAAAATTTTTATTGATCTAGCTCGAGGGACCAAATTCATGCTTTATTGAAGTAGTACTTATTTCTGAACATGTAATGACTTATTTTCTAGAGAAAAAACTTAGGAGGTAAATGTTTATTTTTTAAAAAGCTCTTTCCGTGAATAGCTTATTCACGGAAGAGCACCATTTTCTTTTTCTTTTAGATTAGCATTGAAACTTTCTTGAGTTTACTGCCACTTTGTGATTATTCCTGAAAATTTGCTGAATCAGTTTTTGAAGAACTTTTGTATGTACAGAGATAGATTTCATTTTGTTGTGGAAATAATAAAGGTTCCAACCATCATTATCATTAACCTATTAATGCTCCCACTGCTGGGGTATAGAGGGTTTCTTTGGATATCATAGGCAATACTTACTCCCTGTGCCATCCGCAACACAAAATGACTTAACACGCAGACCCAGTGTGGGTTGGCGGGTGGTTAGTTAAAGGTTAAAATAATGGGGATGACGCCCGTCGGTAGATTTAACGGAATTCTATTTAGTCCGTCACTTAGATAATCAAAAAATAATGGACATTTATTTTTTCTATTGTCAATCAACCAAAATATTACAAAGATAAAGCGCGTCAAAGTTTTGGAGTGGGGGCTAGTGTCGTCATTTCTTAGTAAAAATTGTACCAAGACGTTACGTCATGCGACATATCTCTGTAATGTTTAGATTAAGTGGATAAAGAAAAAATTAGTGTTGCCCAAATTCAGTCTTGGTCTTGCAGTCTTGGTCTTGTTCTTGCATTTTTGGAAGACCAAGATCAAGAACAAGACCGCGTATTTTTAGCAAGACCAAGACCAAGACTGACCGTGCAAGACTTGAGCAAGAACAAGATTAATCCGGCAAGACTCTTGCGTCTTGCAGCTAGGACTTAGCGCTATTTCACGGAGTAGGTAGGTATAACAGTTCGGTGTATAGGTACGCTTAGGAATTCTATGAGACGCAAAAAACTGTATCAAAGAATATGAAAAACTGGACCTATGCGCATTACGACCAATACCATAAACATACATAGCAAATAAATGATAAATCGTAAAACTCTTTTATTAAATTTCATATAAGTTGAGGGTTCAATCACTTTCTAGACAGATATTGTTCTTTAAAATACAGTCAAGTTATTGTAATTATTTGTTTTTTACATGTTTTAGCACATGTAAGCTTATAAAGCGTAAATGTTGATTAAGAAACAGTTACTCCCATGGAAAACGACATATAGCTCAGTTGATAAACATGTGGCAGTTGATTTTACGAATTTCTTATCAAATCTTCGGACATTTATTAATCTGATTGTTCTTTACTAATGCTATGTTAATTCAAGCTCACAATGTTCCATTTCTAATACGTTTTTCTAAGATCTAAAGTAAACTTTAATAAATAGCAATAGTCTAATAGGTAATTGCAAGACTTGCAAGACTCTTGCTGCAAGACCAAGACCAAGACTGGGAGCGCAAGACCAAGGCCAAGACCAGGTGTATTGGCGCAAGACCAAGACTGGCTAAGTCTCGTCTTGTTCTTGCATTTGGGCAACACTAGAAAAAATACGTGTCCAATACTTTTTGATTATCTACCTACCTGATAGACGAAGAAAAAAAGTAAAGCACAATCCCCATTTTATCAAACTAATATCTCTCCACCTGAGGAGCTCGATGGCGTAGGTGGTTAGCGCGTTCGGCTGCGATCGTTGAAGATAACCAACTTTCGCAGTAGTCGGTCATTGGATGGGTCACCAAAAATCTTCTATCTCCAGTTCCTCCGTGCTTCGGAAGGCATGTTAAGCCGTTGGTTCCAGCTGCATCTGCAGTCGTTAGCACCTTTCAATCTGCACTGGGCCCGCGTGGTTTGTTATGTCCCTATCTCCCTATTCTACCTATATGGAAGGCCTGTGCCCCAGCAGTGGGGACATTATTAGGCTGATGATCATGATATCTCTCCCTTCGATCTTTAAATTAAGGCGAAGTACGTGTTGAGTAGATCGTCGAAGGAGTCCCACATCTATATGCCCATTTAGCAAGAGCCCGCCCACCGCGCTGGGACTGCTTACGTCATCGAGTTCTTTCCGTTTAACAATAATTTTATTATATCAAACTATAATCTCACCCTTCGATCTTGAAATTGGCGAAGTACGTGTTGAGTAGATCGTCGAAGGTGTCACACATCTGTATGTTCATCTTGGACATGGTCCCGCCCACCACGCTGTGACTGCTCGCGTTGGCGAAAACGCGCAGGTTCTTCTCGCTGAACGGGACGATAGGCTCCTGGTATTCGTCGTCATAATCTGCAGACACCACTTGGGTCACTTGTGATAGGTCGCCGTAACTGGTGAACAAAAATTAGGGAGCTAATGAGGATGTTTAGGAACATACACGTTTGCGGCACTGTGACGTGTGGTTCTTTGTATGAAGTTTTTGGCGCGAATTCATTGAGCATTTAAATTGATACATTGACTACGATCAGCTTAATAGATCAAAAATTACTTTACTTGATCATGATTTTTAGTAATTTATCAACTAGTTTTTTTTTTTTGTGAAAATAGTCAAATCAAATATATTTTATTTTTCATACAGTCAATACATTGTACAGTGTACACCTAGCAAAAACAATTAAAACGGACAGCGGGATCTCGGTAATAGCGTTTCGTTGTCGTTATTGAGTATGGAATCCTATAAATTCTTTAAATAAAAAAATAAGTTTTAAGTTATTAACATGTTGTTCGTGGTACCTAAACCTTCGGTTTTTTCTAAATTTGTTTTTTAAGAAAACAATCTATGTAAACTATATGTTTTATTAAGGTAGATATGTTAATTGCACATATTTCTTACAAAAATTTACATTCTTCAAATGCGCTCTGTTAACTGCGTTCATGCTTCAATAATAATTTCGAATTCTGTAATCGTAAAAAAAAATCCTCCAGAAATACTTATAAAACTTTTTTTTTTCAAAACACTTAGAAAAAAAAACTATATTTTTGCGTCTCGAGTCTAGTTAATCGTCTGTGTTCTCTTCGTTATTAGCTTACAGCGCATTCTTGTTAGTTGAAAATTAGCGTAATATCAAGGTAAGTAAATGAGAAAGGAAATCATGTTTTTCTCTGCATCTCAGTTACTAAATAACTGAATAAAATAGATACGCACTTTGCAAATACATCGATCGTGTTGCCTATATTCAGATCATATCTCACATCACCCTCCTCACTCTCGCAGACACTACAGCACAACAGCACTAGCACATAGAAAATCAACATGTTGTACACAACACCATACACTCACTATATGTTAATTATACATGTAACAACTTATCTCATATAAAAGCGGAGCATCAACTGAGATTTTTAAATATTTCTCACTGTTTCATTTGTAGTAATCATGTATTTGAACTTGACCTAAGCGATTCCGATTATTGAGAACGTAAATATAATACTAATTCACACTAGTCGTGCGACGCGGAATCATCATGTGTTCCTATTTTATTTTAGGATTTCGTACAAATCGGTCGTTTAACAAGATTCTCTTAGGTACAGGTTTCAAACAAAATAGCATTAAAAGTCATGGTCATACAGAATATTATATTAGAAATAATATTCTATATGACCTTCTATATTGATCTTCTATATATATTGATCTTGATATTCTATATGAAATAGGTACACTAGCGATTTTCTTGCGTTTGACCGTGTTTGAATATTTCATTAGGTAGGTAGGTGTAGGTACTACAATCAGGAAAACAGGCTTGTAAAATGATCCGGGCTTATCGTTTGTTGCGTGCATAACACGTAAAATAAGTTTGTACGTATTTAAGTGCAGTAATTTGTTTCTTATATTCGCTAAAAACAGGAAAACTATAATCAAGGAATACCCAAACGAGGGGACTTCTTTTGAAGATGAATCGAAGTCTGAGCTGTTTCGATGGGTTTTTAAATTTTTGTTGGTAAATATTTCCGTTCTATACGGATAGTGACGTTCCAGGGCTTCGCGGGGTAGTATTGTTTCCAGACCGGCAATGTGAAGATACTTGTAGAAGCACACTTCTGCTGCATTGGCAATTTAGGCAACATTTAAAATCATGCGGAGTGCTGGAATTTTCTGGGCATAATTCGAAAAAAAAACAGCATTGCACAGATATAATAACAAACGGAGCTATGAAAGATAAATATTACTCCTCATCTGTCACGCATTAATCATTTTAAACACAAGTTGGGCTTAATGTATTTTTTGGTTGTTTAGTCCTATTTTTTAGCTGAGCTTATTATGTAAAGTACATGTCAATTATTTTTTAAACTATAGAAGTTACAGATTTAAAATAAAAAAAACTGTTTGTAATAAATTGTATCAGCTTTTTTTGAAACAGTATGTACGAAATTAAAATCTCTTTCGATTTCTTTTTATTTCGAAAGTATTTATCTTGTGTACTTAAAAAAGTAATTGAAATTTTAAAAGTGTGATACTTATTTTGCAGGCGACTTCCAGAATTTGAACCCAGGACCTTTGGTCGGTCTTCTAGCCGACTGGCTGGTCGCCAATAATTATTATGACCTTGTCCTAAAACAGACTTCTATTATAATATGAACACCTTATTTGGTAGTGTATTTTGGCGCTGCCGCGCTGGTTCGAAAAGCGAAGAATGCTTTTACGATTTTAGCTTAGTACCCAGGAACCAGAAAAAATAAATCTACTTATACTAAGAATTTGTTATTAACAACAGTAACATAAAAAAACATTTTTTAGTTTACGAGGTCAGCCAAGTGGGTTGTGGTTAGAATGCTCTAATTGCTTTTTTATCGATACTAAAGATCAGTTCAAAAAATTTACAATATCATTAGATGTATGACTAATATGTTGTCTGCAGGTCTATGTCGATAGGTAAATGTATTTACGTTTACTCCAAATGTTTGTTCGAATTCGGTCAACAACATATGTTGCTAAGAATATAAGGGCGCTTGCGGCGCCGGTACCGCGAACGCTCGACAACAGGACTGTTGCCGCACCGCGCGTTTTGTATGAAAAAAAAAGGATCGTCCGTACGCTGTACGACAAACGCACCGTTTCGGCACCGCAGCAGGCCGTCAAGAAACGCATAAATGGAAAGCGCCCTAAATATCAATATTTTGCTGCTCAGAAATCACTGGGTGCACAGTATAACTCTTTTGAATCGTCCAATTTTTTTCCCCTACCACTCGTTATTGGACATATTTTTTAGCTGCGGAGAAAAACGTGTGAAATAAACTCCATAACATTAAAAGTATAATGTAACAACATTTACAAATCATTATGTTGTTACAACGTCAATACAATAATGATTTATTCCATATAGAAGACCTGAAAATGTTGGAATAATTGGAACAGTTCAAACCCAAGCATTTTTGTCTGTTATATAATCAGACACTTTGTAATAAGCTTTTTTTAATAAGTGCTTTTTAATAGTATCTTTAATGTCAACTCTTGGATATTGCTTTAAATAGCCTAGTAGCAGGTAAAGTTAGTTTATTTTTTAACCGACTTTAAAAAAGGAGGAGGTTTTATGTTCGATTGTGTTTTTTTTTATGTATGTTCACCGATTTCTCCGTCAGTTGTGGACCGATTTCCAAAATTCTTTTTTATTCGGAAGAGTGCACTTCCGAGATGTGCTCCCATTGGAACCAAGTCAGGATCCGATGGTGGAATCCGGGGAAATCGAGGGAAACCTTCAAATTTCAAAGGCACGCACGATGTTTTTTTGCATGTTCACCTATTTCTCCGTCAATTGTGTTATTGTTTACTTGGATGATGTAATTTTCACTTAAATGAAAATGATGGATGAAATAAAAAAAAAACAAAAAAAAAAACTGACTTCAAATTCGAAAATGGAACTAAAAAGTAAAAAATAATATCTGGCTTATGATTTCGAAATCGGGCGGGGTCAAGATTGAAACATTAAATAGATTTTCGTTTCTGATCGGTAATAATACGTCTTTCAAACTTGACCCACCCGACTTCTAAATCATGAACAAATCAAAAAATATTTTTTTCTTGTTTTAAGTGTGTGAACGTCGCCGTTTTTAAGAAATAAGTCATATTTTTTCTTACAAGTAATAAATTTTGCGTATATATGTTGTGATGCGACCGTCATTATGCCAAATTGACTAAATTGGTCAACCAGATATATGGGAGTAAAAATCAAGGTTCGACCCGTCTAAAGATAACCCAACGAACTACGAGTGAATTAACGCGTTATCAACGACATTTAGTGTTGATTTCAAATAGGCATGTCGATAATTTTATTCGCTGTTAACGGGTTGCTTATACATTGTTTATTGCAAAGTCATAGCAATTGCGCAGAGACGTATTCAGATTACTTTGTATGCAGCAATATCGAATTCGAATAGTTTGCGAGTCCGAAATGTCATTGTCAAATGTGTACTGTGTGTCCTTTGTAGCTCTGTACCCTTAGTACGAGTTTTACAATTACGAAAACTATGATAGTTTTCGAGAGCTCGCACTCGGTACTGATTTTATTGTTTTCGTTTCAATACAAATAAACAGTGTTTATAATCTATCATTAAATCATAAATAATAATTTATTTATTTATTAAATCATTTGTGTCTTCTTAAAATTTCAGTATATTTGGTTACTTTTCACCAAAATGGACGTAGAAACATAATTTACTATTAGGTGCGAAAACTATGATAGTTTTCGGGAGCTCGAACTCGTACTAAGGGTACTGCTGTTCAAGTTTCCATACAAAATTTATATCGAATTAGAATAGTTTGCGAGTTCGATTTCGTCAATGTCAAATTTTCTAGTTATTCGTGCTTAGGGTACTGTAGTTATTTGGATGCTTTTAACGTCAAATCCAGTAATTCCAAGCATAATCCAAACTACAATAGTTATTGACTATTTTTGAACTTATATAATGCACCTACAAATTTTTACATTATAATTGCAAAAATAACCGCGTAACTTTTTTGTGTTAGGACTGACTGTTCATCACCATCCTATTAATGTCCCCACTCATGGGGCACAGGCCTTCCCTATGGATGGAATAGCGAGATTGGGCCATGACCCACCACGCAGGCCTAGTGCGAATTGGCGGGTGCTAAGGACTGCAGATACAGCCGGGACCAACGGCTTAAAGTGCCTTCCGAAGCACGGAGGAACCCGAGATAGAATATTTTTGATCACCCATCCAATGACCGACCACAGCGAAAGTTGCTTAACTTGAAGATCGCAGTCGAAGGCGCTAACCACCTGCGACATCGAGCTCCTCACCAGCACTGTACCTATATAATATTCTATAATGATTAAAGTAACTATAGGTGAATGACTTTTTAATCATATTATGTTTAACTTTGTTCTGGGAAAATACACTTCTGGACACATCTATTGGCCCACCTAAGAGTTTAGGTTTCGATGGCCCCTACCGAAATATGATTGCTAGATTGAACAAAAATTGTTGATGCAGTTTTAAACCTGATACATTTTACCATCTTTTTCGATCGTATTGTTTTAAATTTGAATTCAGAATACCATACGACATGGAACTACGCCTAACAAGTCGGATATGCGCCTTGTTAAAGGCAATTGATTTTTGAATAAAAACATGTTTTATCAAATAAAGGTTTAATTTAATAACGCGTGTTGCCTCCATGGGCGTCTACCACAGCTCTCATACGATTAGGCATAGAGTTTATCAACCGCTCTATGAAATTTTGAGGGATCATCTCCCATTCCTCTTCTATGGCAGTTTTCAACTCCTGCATCGTCTGGGCAACTGGCTGACGAGCCCTAACACGTCTTTTTAGCTCGTCCCACATGTGCTCAATGGGGTTCATGTCTGGGCTTCTGGCTGGCCAGTCCATAACTGTGATGTTCATATCCCGAAGATATTACCTGACGATGCCGGCCGCATGGGCTCTTGCATTATCATGCATAAAAAGGAAATTTGGGCCCACATAGTCCGCGTATGGTATCACGTGAGGTTCTAAGCACTCCCGAATGTACCTTTCAGCATTTAATGTTGGCAGCCGTGGTCATGTAACAACCTCAAGTTGAGTTTTGCCGCTCGCGGATACACCGCCCCAGACAGTCCATGAGCTACCGCCATAAGCATCCCTCTCTTCAAAGCAGCATTGTGCGAAACGCTCTCCCTTACGTCGGTAGATCTTCTTCTTTCCATCATTGCCATGTAACACAATTTTAGACTCATCAGAAAAGAGTACACGGCTCCAATCTTGCTGTGTCCAATTTAAATGACTGCGTGCGAAATGA